TTAAGTATCAACAAGCTTCATAATCATATTGCATAAAGCAAAGAACTTACAATTTAAATAATGAGGGTTCGCTAGACACTGGACAAACTCTAATTCAACTTGGAACCTCAGACGCGCCCGATCTTCTGTTTCTTAAAATGAAAATTAGATGACAGTTAGTAGTTACTGTCTATTACATACCACGAAAAGTTGAAAAATGCGATAAAACTCCACGGAATCATGGTCTATTTTCTTGATACTTACCTTGTGAGTTTGCTTCGGAAGTTTCCATCATGGCCGCCATAATGAATTTAGTTGAGGGACAGTTTAAGAAGAAATGTTTGAAGGCAAGTCTGCTCTTTGAGTAACCGCTGCTAACCTTAAAACAAGGCGTGCTGTCTCGCTTCATTGTGTTGCTAAAAACAATTATGGTCTGTGTTCTGTTCGGCCAACATGGCGGACGAGTTCGACGGTGGCAGTGGAAGTGGCAGGGGTGGTGGATTTTACGACAGTTTTGGTGATGGCCCAAGGTAAGAGATAGATACTATTACTTTCAGTTTCGGTTTTCGTTTCCAAGTGTAAAATCGCCTGAAATCTGTTTCTGTTAGGGATTATGGAGCTTCCTATGGTGGAGGAAGACGGCGTGGTGGTGGTGGCGGTGGTGGTGGAGGAGGACATAAAGATCGAGGACCTAAACCTGTTCCAAAAGAACCTCCGTTTACAGCATTTGTCGGTGGACTTCCACCAGATACGGTTCAAGGAGATCTTGATATGATCTTCGAAGACATTAAGGTATAATTTCATTGATATCGAAGCAGATAAAACTACCCGCCATTTTGCGATGTTTGTGATAAGCAGAGTTGATTCATTGCAACACGTTGACAATTTGCGGGCTATGACTTCTCCATGGTGTAGAAAATCAAATAAATCGAAGAAAGTTAAGCTGTGCAGCGGCTATTCAAAATTATGATCAGAAGTATGATCAACCCTCATTTTACTTCGAGCCAAAAACTTAGTAGTGATTCTCCTAAGGGGATTCCTCCCCGATGATGCATGTTTTCCTGTGGTTTAGCAACATTAAGCAAGGATGAGGGAGGGGAAAAAATTCAAAGGAGTGATGTTTAATTCACCCAGAGGGGGAAGGGGGGAGGTGATCAAGGTTTGCTGTTTCTAGCCAGAAATCTACTCTACCACTGTGTTTTGTTCTTACCAATAAAGTGTTGACTTAAAGGAATTATGTTGAAAATTAAAATTAAAAATGTTGGCAATCCTAATGTGACATTATCTTCGTCAACCTTAACCATTCTTGTCCCATTTTGGTCTACCAGGTAAATTCTGATAATTATTTTCTTGGAGTTGTGCTTGATTTCTTCCAGTGCCAATAAGAGTAATTTTGCATTTTGTCATCAGATGTATATCAGAAGTATTCGTTTGGTGCGAGACAGGGAGACAGACAAATTCAAAGGTAAATATCAGTTTTGGCAATTGGAATTATTTAATTGTTTGCTGGAAAAGGAGTTTGGGTTTCCTTGGAAATTATGCTAGTTGGTCACCCAAGATAGTGTGGCATGGGTTTTGTAATCTTATGTTTTGTTCAAATATTTATAAACTTACAGGCTTCTGTTATGTTGAGTTTGAAGACGCCAATGCACTCAAAGAAGCATTAACTTATGATGGTGCAGTAAGTATTCAAACATCTTTTTCCCACTGTGGCAGCATGTGAGCAGGTTTAAAACAAAAAGGAAATGAAAATAAAGAGAATCATCAGCTTAGTGATATTGTTTTGATTTACCACTAAATTCTCAGAACTGGCATTAAAAGAGATACATCAGTTACATGTAAGGAGAGTTAAAATGAGAAATCCAGTCATTTGCATTGGTCATAACAGAATTTTTCATGTTAGATGATTTCGAACAAAATTGATAGAAACAGGGGTTTTATTAAGGCTGGGCACCAGGCAAATTGACCAGCTGTGAGGATGATTTTGCCTGCCTGGTTTGATCATCTCAAAGAAAGTTTTTCTCATAAAGAAGTTCAGTTTATGCTTTGCTCGTCTGTGAAAACCAGTTGCCCTCCTGTTGAAAACGTCAATGAAACCCCTGTAGAAACCTTGTATTATAAGACAGAGAAATCCAGACTGCAACTATTATAGTCATAAATTAGTCCATTCATGCATTTTACCTCCTAATCAGTATGTTATGTAATGTTGTTGACTAGTTGATTGGTGATCAGAGGAGAACACTAAGAGTTGATGTTGCTGAGGGGCGTCGAGATGGGGGCCGTGGCGGTGGCAGAGGGGGGCAAAGAGGCGGCAGAGGTGAGGGTCATAATGTCCAGCAGTTTAGTGGTGCTTATCCATCATCTATATCATACAGGAATTTAAATTTAAACTAGAGCAGTTTTTATTCAAGTATCGAAAGGTAATTGGTTTTGCATTACTACGTTACACCATTGGCTTTAAGAGCTCCTGCCACTTTTTCATACAATCAGAAGTAAAACCAAACCCAATCATGACTCATTTCCACACATTTTCCTGCATTTTGTGTCGGCTACATATATTGACTTTGAGTTTTGACAGGGTCCCTGTTTTTTTCTGTGTCCTTTGTGAGTGGTTTAAGTGATTACTTTGGTTTTGGTTTTACAACACTCCATTGAAAACTGCTCTTTCTGTACTGCCTTATTACTGTAGGTGGATTTGATGACAGAGGGGGAAGACATGGAGGTCAAGGTAATTTATTTAGTGCTGCACTCACAATGACTGTTGTTTCTAAATGGAAATTGCATATTTTATTGATGCTGTTAATCCAATTGAAGACAACATTGTGCTGGACAGTTTGCTTATTGGTTTTGTCCTTATGATTTCCCTCTTACCAGTGACTTTGCTTACAGTTTCTAGTGTTTTGACAAAAAAACAGTAACCTAAAGTAGATTTCAACATTTGCAAAAATATTAAATCTATTTTTTTTTGGCCAAATATCAACCTTTTTGATCATGTTAACAAGTCTTGGTTTCCTTCTTAATAGGAGGTGGAAACTGGGGCAATAGAGGAGGAGGAGGCCACAGTAACTGGAGTGGAGGAGGTGGCGGAGGAAGCTGGGGTGGGAGAGATGATGGTGGCTGGGGTGGCAGAGATGATGGAGGTTGGGGTGGTAGAGATGACGGAGGTTGGGGTGGTAGAGATGACGGAGGAAGAAGAGGGGGAAGACATGGAGGAGGTGGTAGAGGTGGGTATGGAGGAGGAGGAGACAGGAGAGGACCTCCAAGACAAGATGATTTTCGAGAACCAACGGCAGGTAAGAAATGTTGATGAATATGTAATTCATTTAACACCACCCCACAAGCTTGTAGCTTAAAATATTATCATGTATAATTAAAGGTCATCTTTCTATCCAGCAGTTATTAAGATGCCTTTGACCAAAAAATAATTACCAATGATGTGTTTAAAGTTTCTCTAAAAGATATAAACAATTTCAGCCTGTAGTTTAGAACCTAGTGGACAAGCAATCCATTATTTTTTTTTTCATTATTTCAACAGAGGAACTAGCTGCCAGGCCAAAATTAAAACTTAAGCCACGTACAGTGAAAGATCCTGTTAATGAGGTGGCCTCTAGTGTTCAACAGATGGCAATATTTGGTGGTGCAAAGCCAAGAGATGAAAATGAATATGTCAAAGAAAAAAGCAAAGAACAAAGATCAGACAGCCAATCTAGTCAAAACAGCACTTAAACACAAGGTAGGTTATTCCTTCCTGATAGTAGTGGAGCTCCGGGGCTGCCAAGTGGAGCCCCATACCCATATAGGACAGAAAAGGAAACCCATGAACTGATTTTCTCATGGTCATCATGGCTAGTGGTATTGCTCGTGGACACATACGCATGATGACAGCGACCACAGAGTCATGCAAGGTGGCAACCATACTCCAGCTAAAAGGTTGACAGAGACATACAGCCTTGATTTATAGCCTCCTTCTTTGACATTGGACATCCATGTTATGGTCAATTGACACCTGTCAAAACAAGGTATCAGCTGAGCAGTATCATGTGACCATATCGTGGGTTCAAGTTTAGAGCTCATCAAGGTCGCACTTTTTTAAGTTGACTGCTGACCAAGTGCTGGTTTTCTATTGGATCACAGGCTCATGTCAGGTTAACTTGTTGTAAATGGGGCCGGGTTGTTCGGAAGCCAGTTAACACTAACCCAGAATTAAAAGTTAACAGAAGTATTCACTGCTTTTGTTTTGTGTATTTTGAGATTATTCAAACTCAAATCAAAATTCTCGCTTAACCTGGGTTTTCTTCATCAGGGTTTTGAACAATCCAGCCCTGGAGCTCCGCTTTTAGGCTTGGCTAAATCTATATATTATTATAATTATGTTGTGCTGTTATAGCGTAACTCTTAAAAACAGAGCAATCACCGACCATTTTGGATCTGTGTTTGAGGAAGACTTGGGTGGGAAAATCACATGATTATCATGAAATCATCAGTTGCACAAAGTTCTGTTTTAAAAATGTTTACCTTCACACTCAAATGCATAGCAGAGGTTTTCGAATTCCTCCAGTTTGAAGAGTGTGTTTTAAAACGCTTTCATTCTTTTTATGACAGATTAGTGTTGACAGTAGGCCTAAGTATAGAAATAAAGCTGCATTTTCAAATTTATCCAGTTTAGTGTGGTTAGGGCCAAAAGTACCAGGGATTCCCATGAGACACTTGAGCCCGATGTAGTCTTAACATTTACAGTACCTTACATTACCTTATCAAATTTTCATTTTCTGTTTTCTCACCACAGGAAAATTTAAATATAAATTGAAGAAGAAGCTGCTATTTTTGAAGTCTATTCAAAGACATTCAAAGCTTCTACAACTGGCTACTAGAAATGAGGCACAATTTTTGTTTCATGTCAGCAACAATTTGTCAAGGATATCAAGTCCCTGGCTTTGTGAGAGTTTGTCCACTGCATGTTCATGCCATTGCTAGAACCAGATGCTCTTCCACACCCTGTGTATCTGCATTGTTCACACTAGTTATACTTAAAAAGACAGTTGTTTAAAAGCGACTTTGTTTCTTTGCAAAGTCTACGGTTTTAGATTCTATATTATATTATTTTGTACAGCAGATGCTTTGAACACTGTGTTCCTTACGTAGTTTTAACTTTTGTAGGAAATGGCTGTCCTTTCATTGAGGAGACAACATCGCAGTAGTATACTGAAAACATGAAAGTTTTCAAGTATATACAATTATTGAATTTCACCCTTGTTTTGTTTTATTGTTTTCCTTAGGCTGACTGTCATTATGAAAAGTGTTTTGCTTTGTTTGAAACTTTTATTTACAAATTTCCGTTGAAAACTACCAGTGGAAGGTACAAGTAAAAAGGAAAATAAATTCTCTGTCATAAACAGCCTATGCTCTCTTACACTGACTAGTGGCTTTATAAAATTCTCATTTTTCAATTCACTAAATTAATAACCTGTTTTGGACTAAAATCGACCCCAATAGCTGTTACCACAGTTGAACATGCGGTCCAATATTCCTTTGTTTAAAAAGGCATACAAACGAGGCGAAAGGGTCAGTACAAAGCAGAATGGACTCCTTTGCCTCGTTTGTATGTCAAACCGCTGAAAACTGTGATAACAGTCATTTTTAAAAACTGGATCATTGGATAATACAATTCGCGAGTTTTCATTGGCTTCACCATCATGGTATATGAGTCATTATGCCATGTTCTACAAATATGGTAAGCGTACGCGTGTTTTTTTTTTTGTTGTTGGGGAGGAGGTGGTGTTTTAAGTTTTAGTTTAGTTAAGTTTTCTATATGATTATTCCACTCCCGCTCGTTGGATATGAGGTCATCTACAATCCCATATCCAATGCACGCTCGTGGAATAATAATGTTAATTTTTGCTTGAAAGAGAGATCTATTTGTGACACTCTCATTGGACCAATCAGGATGTGACTGTTTTCAAACCAAAACCTGTGGGAAGGCGGAGGGGTGGGTGGATGGCTAATCACCTGAGTAATCAACTCTGGCAAGTCATAGCACTCAACTCGAAGTTGAGTATTTTAACGATGCCCAGTGCGAGAAACCGTGCAACGGTTACCAAGAGTGGAAAAACATAAAGGTTACCAAGCGCGAGAAAACGCGCGACGTGAGCCAAATAACCTGTTTTGGGTTGCTTCTGATTGGCTGAAAAACAACAACAATTTCCTCTGATTGGTTAGAGATAGCTGAGAGTCAATTTGAACGCTCTTCAGGGGTTTAGTACAGGATGCTTTGGTGTCAGGAATAATCCTAGTGGCTGATGTTCACTCTGAACTGCACAGAATGCATGTGCTAGTGGTGCACCCTGGACAAGTCTGTTGGTACGACTTGATCATCGACAGAATACAATATTTACTATTTATACATCCACTCACGCACTGTATCAGCCATTTAAAACAAATAAAAACGCTCTTGTTTACGTGTCATCCACTGCTGGCTTCTGCAAGTTTCTCAAACATCCAGTTGAGCTGGCCTTGAAAATTCGCATGTTTTTCTGTAATGTAAATGTTTGGCGATTTTCGTGAACATTGCGGGTACACCATAACTAAATAACGTTCTCGGGAGCCCAAAGATAGTCAGTCAAGGCAAGACGAAGTAAACGAGAAATGCAAACGTTCGTGGCACCAAATTTGCTGCTCGGTATGTTTAGTTCGTCTTCAGTTGCCTCGACTAACCGCCCCAGGGTTCCCATGGACGGCCAGAACTATTGACTGCCTTTTTAGTCGACGATCAAAGAAGAGAGAGTTTTGGGTCTTGGGCTCCACAAGCTAACTTCAGAGACCTAATGGCGTGTCTAGGTAAGACTAGGCCTACCCCCGGGGGGGTACTTTGAGAATTTCTGGGTGGGGATGTGCCGCTGGGACCCTGGAACCCCTAGCCCATACCAGAGCTAGTTCAGCTGAATTTTGCTACCCTATACTAGAGTAAACTCCCCAAATCC